TTATACAAGCAATATTTTTCCAGGTCATTGTGACAATTTAAGGCATCTACACTGATTTCTACAATTTAATATATATATTGTACTGATAATGGTCAGATGGGAATATATGAAGGACAGAAGTAGCTGTTCCTGAGCTCTTTTGCATATAATTTGTAACAAAAGACATTAACGTAGGACTTTGATGAAAAACAAAGAATGTGTGATTCAATAAAATTTATCTTGTTTTACTGATTGCATTCATAACAGAGTGTTCCAGTCAGTTTATCACTCTTTTAAAAAATCTACAGTAGTTTAACTGTTCACAGGCCTTTCTAACATATAACCTTTAAAAATAAAACTTTCTTGATCTGTGTAGTTTCTACAATACATAATTTTTAAAGAGGTAACAACAAAAACAAAAACACTTTTTGGATCTTTGTTCTGTAAGTATCCCAAAAAATGCACTATTACCTCTTTTTTATGGAAATACATTCGTTTGGGTTACATTATTCACAAATGAATTAAATTTGATTTAATTTGTTTTATGAATAATCAGACCCTAGTGAATTCTGCCTACGGTTTTAGCGATCTTCAATTTTAGAGAGTATGGCATTTTGAAATAAAAGAATCATAACTGTCTTATCTTACACCACTTCTCTCTATAGAAGACATATGTACTGCTTCCTCACTTAAAACTTTCAAATGAGTCAATTCCATTTGTGATCAGTCTTTTTAAATTATTATTAAGTATTTATTTCTGACTATATTGCCTGTAAAAGCTGTAAACATTTTCATGTCCTGTTTTTTCTATCTGTTCTCTATAGGTAATGAAGCATTTTCATTTAGGGCCTATTTTTGGTACCACAGGTATAAGAAAATAAATGCTTCACAGTTCAATTCATTTATATATAAATATTTTATTCACGAATCATTAAGGTGATTCTTATTCTTTCTCTGGATTATGTAAGCTTATCCACAAGTCCATGTAATTTTCTCTACTGGAATGAAATCATTTCCTATCTTCTTCAAATAATACATAATTAAAGCCATGCAGCAAAATATCTTCCTGAAGGTTAAATTAGTTCACTTCCAGATATTATAAAGAATGCTCGCCAGTCTCATCCTCAGAAATCAGTCATACTAAGATTTAACTAATGGGAAAATGTTTTAAAAATTGCTCATTTCTTTGAGTGCCATTTTTATATTAAATACAGTGTGTAAGAGAAGAGAGCAAAATTCTCTGTCTGCTCTACCTCTCTACTCGGAGATGGTTTTTCCTGTTATCTCTCAGCCCAGCTCTAATACTTGGATTTGCATATTAATAAGCAAGAAGCAGACTCATCCCCCCCCTCCAAAGTGGAGTGTTCCAATTCAGGGTTCTAGTCAGTCAGTCATGCTCCATTCTGAGATCCTGTTTCATTCTGGGTCCCACCCCACTTCAGCATTTTTTTAATTCTTTTCTGCCACAGGCATTCAGTACTCAATGGCTATTGAACAAGCACAGGCCTTCATTTGGCAGCATCAGAAGGATTGTTCCTTTAGGTTTCAGCAGAAAACGAGAAGTTGATTTATTTCATGTGTTTCCATGATGTGCATGTTCAAACTTAACTATTTTTTATCCTGGCCTCGTATAACTTACATGTATGTCAGAATTCAGTGGCTGAGCATGCTACTAGAGGGAGTGATATGGCATTCATGCTAAGACAAGTCATATATTTCATGTTTGTTTTCAACTTATCTCTTTTTCAAGTGCTGTTGAAAACAAGCACAACTAACTATAGTTGATTGCTCGGGTTACATTTCATCTCCTACATGCTTTGCTTTTCTTATCTGAAACAAGCTTTATTGTTTTAGCATTGAGAGTCAGATAAGCATAATTTTCAACTTCAAGTCTCTCAAGTAAGGCATCCGTCACAAAAATCCAAGCTACTTAGTAAATCAATCCAGTAAAAAGAAGACTATAATCTATGAATAACACTAAATTATAGCATGTCCCATAGAGAGAGCCAGGCAATAAGCATCACATTCAAGATAAGGGATGCTTTTTCAAAGACATGATGGATTGATCATGCTGGCTATGCCACATGCTTCTGGAGAAAATGAACTGTGAAAACATAATATTCTGTTTGATGCAATGGATAATGATCATGATAGCTTGTTTCAACATTTTGACTACACAATTCATGAGATATCTTAACATTCTTTAGAATATGTTTGTGATATGAAGGCATGATTGGAGATTTTTTTGGAAAGCAACATTAGCACTTACCAGAAAACAAGTAAGTAGTAATGTTGCTTTCCAAAAACATTTCCATTCATGCCTTCATATCTTCACAACTGTCTAAAGAATGCTAACGTATTCCATAAAGTGTGTAGTCAAAATGTGAAAAACCACAATTGTTTTAGAACCAGACAACCACTGCTAAAATCACTCAATTTAAAACAAAAATAAAAATAGCTGGATCAGTATTTAGTCTTCATTCCTCATATGTCCTCAGGTGCCGGTTATTAACATAAAAAGAACGTAACAGTCTAACCATATTTATATAATGCAAATTCTAAAACATGTCACCAAAAAATAAAAGTGATTCTGTAACTGAGCAAGCTGTGACACTAGGGCTGAGCTTTTTTAATGTCACAAGTGTTTATATAATCCTTGATAATTAAATTTAATATTCATGTTAATCCAATAAATCCCACTGTTCGATATATGACAAGGAAAAGGTGCCCCATTTCTATTTTGCGCAGAAACATTTGGCTATTCAGTACTGAAACCCCCAGAATGGACGCAGACAACTGATCTAGGAGGCTTCTGCTTATGTTGGTATAATCTCAGACGTGGTTAAAAAGTAAACACCGCAATATTTACTGAAATCAATTAGAATGTATAGATGCTTTGATTTCACTGGAGGCATCTGGAAAAAAGGAATCTATACACCAACCTGTCGCAGTAGGATGATTTGCAAACAAGAATCGTAGATAATGATTTGGTTAATGCATTTCTTGCTAGATATGTATTTTTAAATTTTGATACATCAATAATTGCTATAGCATTTCAAATGTATTTTTAAGACAGTTTCACAAATGTTATTCTGAATTCACAAAAGTTTGCTGAGCTCCCCCCTCTTAGAAACATAACTCGTAGGAGTCTCCGTTTCCAAAAAACATTGGTAATGTTACAGATGTAACACTGTCCAGGCATCACTTGTGTCTAAGCCCTAGAACTACGCATCAGGAAATCCAAAAGCTCCATTTCAGGATGATACTCTACATTCCAACAACAAGCAGGTAAATCCTACTCATAGCCAAATTAAGATACAATGCAGCAAAAGCAAGATAATGATGATCTCATTACCATTTCAGCTTTAAAATATCAATTTTCCATCTCTCTTGGCAGCTCTTGAATGACCAGACATAGATTTGTAGCAGGAGCAGACTCTTGCCAAATTTATTACAGTATAGTGGCTCACTGAAGGATGCTTCTGTCTACTTCATGCCTTTTGTTACTATGCAGGTTTAAAGGAGTAAAATTGATCAAGGAGAATAAGTTAAACGCAGGCCAGATTCTTTGGGCTTTAATAACAATTCTTTTCTCAGGGAAACCAGGGTTAAGGTTAGCCCCAGTCTCATTTCAAATAACCCAAAATAATTCTAGCCAAGTATGTCCTTGGACCCTGCTGAAATTACTTCCAGTGTGTACAACAGTTATGTGGATTCATGCTTGTGTAAATTTATACATAATTATAACCTAAATCAATTATTATTGCCGTATAAGGTTCAACATAAAGTAGAAAACACATCTCAAAATATTGTTTGGTCTACAGCTCTTAGTATCATTGGAATATACCTATCTTCTAGCAGTACCATCTTATCATTTATGAACCCCGGTACAATGCTGAAGAAAAGTCAAGATACACACAGGTACTGAGAAAGACCATAATACATTAATTGGGAAAACAGGAAAATTTTCATTATGAAGGATATTTTTCAACAGAAACAAAATAGAAACAAAACTCTAATCGGGATTACAAAAACCAGAAGATAAACCAAGATAACACAGAGATCCCCGCATTAACCTCGCCCTCCCCTTTTGCAGAGGTTAATCACTCTCACATCAATTGTACACGATGGTATTCCTTCCAACACACTTCAAGATGTTAACCAGCAGTTAAAAATAATTACAAAATTCCAAAGCATACAATTTGCAGGGTGCTTTTCTGGGGGGTGGGTGGGGAGAAGACGGGTAGAAAGAAGCACAATAGGAAGACGGGGGGCAGAGAAAAACTAACGGAAGCCCCCAATGTCACACACCCTAGACATCTTAAACTTTTAAGTTGGAAAGTTGGAAAACGACTCCTCCTCCCGGGAGCGCTCAGGAAAACTTTGGAAAAAGTTTAGGTAGCCAGCAAGTGTTTTTTTAATCCGAATGTTACGAGTCTTCGCCGTTTGCAGCGGGGCCAACAGTCACCCCGTTCCCCTCCCCGCCCCATTTTAAAATAACAGCGCTTTGACGTTTGTGGTGAACTTTCGTTCCAACCTGGGATATTCTGCAATCATCCATTCATCCCGGACGACATTTTAGAAGTAATCATCTCTTCCAAGGCTCAGTTCGCAGGCTAGGCTAATAAGGCGATTGTGCTGCTTAGGTACACAGACCGATTTTATACTCTGCTTCACACACCCCTCCCACCACCACCTTTATTCCCCTTTTGAAAAGAGCAGGCGTAGGAGGAGAGAAACTTTGGAAAGTTTTGAAATTCCTTTGGGAGAAACTCACTTCTACCAGGCAATGGCGGAGCAGAGGTAAAGTGGGTAGCGGAAGGTATACGCCCCCTCCCATCATAACCACTTCAGAGGCATCTGTTTCCAAAAAACATATGTTAACCTTTGGAATACGCGGAGATCTGGGATAAAACTGGGACAGGCTGACACTTGGCTGGAAAAGAGACGAGCAGATCCTCCGACGAAAACAAACCCCGCGCACTCGGACCTAGAGTTGAGGGTTTCAGTCCTCGCCTTACCTATTTTTGTGGCGGGTCTTTAAGAGATTCCTTCCAAAGGGAGACATGGTGAGTCCCAAAGGCAGCAGGAGAACATCAAACTTGGGGACCAGGCTGGTGGGGGCAGTGGATGAGCCGTCTCCCCGCGCGTTTTCAGTTGCTGCTGCTCCCGCAGCCGCTGATCCAGCTTGTTAATAGTCACCCGGCGTAGAAGTTGTGCAATCCGTTGCTAACTTTGAACTCCTGCCTCTTGTTGTTGCTGCTGCTCTTTTGGAGCCCTGCCCAGTTGCGAGCTGGAAGGAGGCATTTAGGACAGGGAGAAGGGAATGAAAGCAAGAACAAAGGGAGGGGGAGGGAAGAAGTGGATGGGGGGGGACTCTAATTAGACGCTCTTTCTGACTTCACTAATGAAACACCCATAGCTTGGATAAGACTCAAGACTTGCAGTGGGCAGGAAAGAATTTACCGCAGAATGTACAGCGAGGTCATTGGCAAACTTAACCAGAAGACAAACCGTATGGTTGATCCCTTCTGAGCCAAGGATGACCTTGTCTCTCACAGTTCAGATGGTGTTCCTCTTATCCAGATGAACTTATTGAAAATCCAACCTGATTAGCAAACTTTTGAACTTCATTGAATTCTCCATCAGAAAAAGAGGGGAAAGGGGAAAATAGACCGGGAAGGGGGGGAAAAGGACCCTCCGGTGAAATTGCAGCAGACTCAGATATGATTCCTATAGTCCAGAGGTCTTCAAACTTGGCAGCTTTAAGACTTGTGGACTTCAACTCCCAGAATTCTCCAGCCAACATAGCTAGAATCCATAGAATCCAGGCAGCTTTAAGCCTTGTGGAGTTGAAGTCCACAAGTCTTAAAGCTGCCAAGTTTGGGAACCCCTGCTATAGTCTGTTGCTAGTGTGCAATATGGTTTAAGTTTACAAACCACAGTGGCTTGCTTCATTGTGGTTTGTTTGGGTAAAGCAAGTCACTGATGTACAAACTCTGGTTTATGACTTAGTATGCATGTGAACACAGTCATTGTGGTATATTTAAAAAAAAGAACTATGGGGAAGCAATTCATGGCATATCACAACATGCTAGACCAATCAAAGAGGTCCTAATAGAGGAAAAGAAAAATCTGTTTGTCCTTAAATTAGCAGAATTATGAATGAATTTTATTCCAAAACCAGGTAATATTGCAGAGTATACTTTCCCATTAAACCACATTTCCCCTTTTCGTTCCTTGGAAGAATGACTGAGGGGACTATGAGAAGTTGGGATAGTGACCAGAGAAATATCTTTCCCAGCTCTAGTGATTTGCACTTTTATGTAATACCATATTTTTCCCACTAACCAACTGGAGGATATGAGATCACAGGTTCTCTACTGCTAATGTCAGTATATATAAAAAAAAAATTTCCAGGGACTGTGCTGTACAGCAGGAAAAAGTGGCTGGGCCTTCCTGACAGTTTCATGGACTATAATTTTGCAAACAACATCTAGAAGACTGTCAGCATATTATTGTTGTATGATTTTTCATAATTTATTTTCTTTGCTTGGGTACTTTTAATCCTGTTTTCACAGGATTAATTGATAGATGATAGATCGATCAATAGACAGACAAACAGATTGGTTATGGAAGATAGATAGATAGATAGATAGATAGATAGATAGATAGATAGATAGATAGATGATAGATGCACACATGCTTCATGTCATTGTTGACTCCAGTGACTGCCTGGTCCCTAAATTTTCTTGGCAAAATTTCAGAAGTGGTTTGCCATTGCCTGCTTTTTCCTAGGCTGAGAGAAAGAGACTGGCCCAAGGTCACTCAGCTGGCTTTGGACCAAGAACTAGAACCAGTGGTGAAATCCAAATTTTTTTACTATCGGTTCTGTGGGCTTGGCTTGGTAGGCGTGGCAGGGGAAGGATACTGCAAAATCTCCATTCCCATCCTATTCTGGGGCAGCCAGAGATGGTATTTATCAGTTCTCTGAACTACTCAAAATTTCCGCTACCGGTTCTCCAGAACCTGTCAGAACCTGCTGGATTTCACCCCTGACCAGAACTCAGAGTCTCTTAGTTTCTAGCCTGGTGGCTTAACCACTGTACCAAATTTGTTCTATGGTACTCACAAAAATTGATATGATGTAATAAATACATATGGTTGGGAAGTCATTTTGTGTACTACAATTTACAAGATGCAGCTGATCAATGAAATAAAAAAACAGCAGGCCATTTGTTTCCATCTGTTGTTCAAATGCATAGATATAGAATGAGGGATATCCAACATGGTAATGATACTTATAAAAAAAAATGGTTTGGTATACAGTTAATGCAAAGTGAAACAACAGTGTGATACGGTTTTTTTAACAAAGCAAATGAAATTTTAGGTAGTAATAACTGAAATATAATTCTTGAGTCATTGGAAGCACTTTTTCCATTTTTGTCTGCTTTATTCACCTGAAGTACTGAAAAACAACAAGATAATTAGGGACCTAGAAGTTGAATTCTATAAAGAGACACTGAAGAATCTGGGAATGTTCATGGTAAGAAAAGACACATGATGAGGTATGATAGGATAGGACCCTCCAAACAACTCAGGGAGAAGGAAACTACACAGAGTAATTTCAAGACCTGAGTCTCTTGCTTTGAATATTTGATTCCAAGCAACTAGTTTAAATTACTAGAAAGTCAATTCCAACTGAATGTTAAATTCTGTAACAGTTAAGAGCATCTTGACAGTAGAACCATTTACCCAGACAGCTAGTGGCTTCATTGGATGTGCTTACACACAACAAGCTAGACAGCCTCCTGTCTAGGATGCTTTAATTTGGATTCCTGGAATCAGGAGAGCAATAGAATGAAGGAACCAAATGTTCACTTCCAAGATGGTGACTAAAATATTTTCGCACTTTGTGAGACAGATAGAAAGAGCACATCCTGTAGCAATATAAATCTTGCATTTTGGAAAACATCTGTGACGCTTTGCATACTCACTAATTAAGAAATACACTTCAGGACTCAATGGACATAGTAGGATCATGGACATTACACTTAACGCAGGAAGTATGAATGGGAGCATGTGCATGATGTTTAAGAGGTTACAGCTCATGTAGACCCTCTGGGAAAGGTGTAGAAGAAGTCTTTACTTTGAAAGTTAATTATATATATGACTCAAGGAATCACAAATTATTTACCCTTCCTGTGTTTATTTACCCATATGATTAGAGTGCAAAGCTGCTTTTAGGGCCCATTCCATTGCTGGAATGCCATGAGAGCATAACTCAGTAGGAGTCTTTACCATTCTGTTCCACCAATGGGGTATACTTAAAATGGGAGCATATCCAGGTTCCTTGGTGATACCATATTATCTTCCTGTAGTACTCAAAATAATTTTTTCTTCTTTTTAAAACGTTGATATATTTTCCAGTTTGGGTACATGGATTTCAACTTGTAATCTTACTGCTGTTAATGTCAGCATTCCAGAAAATCCCCCAATTCCAAGTAAAGACTCTGAAGCAAGCATTTTTCAAAGTTCTATTTACTAGAATAGGTAAACTGACACATCTGGGAAAATCCGAATTTGAGAGGTCCGGATTTTCCCTCAGTAAGTCAAAACCCCCAAAACCATCCCCTCACTCCTCAGTCGATCACCGTTCCATCTCGAGACATCACTCCGACCACTCCTTCTCCAGATGCAGGATCGCCCTGACCTTGACTGAGAGGAAGAATGCTATTATGTCTACAGACAACCCCTCTACTAAATCCCCCCTCCTACTTTCCCACACATGAGAAGGTGGCAGAATGGAAGCTTCTGGCCTAATATGGCTTCCAAAGCTGACAACTGCCTCATTATAAATTATTATGCTATCCCCAAGCTTGAAATATGAACTTTTAAATATATTATCTGTCAAATAACTTGAGTACATTAAGTACGTCCAATGCTTTGAAGCAGAATTTCCAAGCCTTCCTGCATGTATGATAGCAATAGCATTTAGACTTATATATCGTTTCACAGTGCTTTACAACACTCTCTAAGTATTTTACAGAGTCAGCATCTTGCCCCCAACAATGTATGTCCCTATTTTACTTACCTTGGAAGGATGGAAGGCTGAGTCAACCTTGAAGTGGTCAGGATCAAACTCTTGGCAGTGGGCAGAGTTAGCCTACATTACTGCATTCTAACCACTGTGCTACCCCTATTAACCCTCAATTACTTCCAGCAATTAGGTACTTCTTAACCACTGTGCCACCACAGTTCCTATCCACTGTTGCTGCTGCTTCCTATTCCAGGAATCTCATCACCGAATATACTGTTTTGGCAAGCCAGTTACAGAGAAGAATGCAGACAGACCTCTCAGTTCTCCTTATGCCAGATAATTTCTGGATGGGAAATCTAGAACCCCAGCTGAATAGATAGAAAGTTTGCAATGCCACTGGAGAGAAGGGAAGAGTTGTGTGGGGCTTCTTTCCATTTTCTTCTGAATGATGTAGTGATTTCTCTGAATTGAGAGAACTGAGAATTAAAAAAGGTTATACTTTGCCCCTTTTCAGTTAACTATTTTACTGAATATGTAGAATAATCTCTTTTTACCTTTTCTGCTGAAATTAATTTAATATAAATAAAAGGATCACTAAAAGCAAAAAGAAAATGGGGACTTGGCAGTTGAATGTAGATGTTGTCTCCAAACCATTTGATCATAAATTTTTGTTCATTTGTTTTTAAAGTAACCCCATTAATCTGCATGCAATGATGTTAACATCTACTCCGTGAATCACCTATTAGTACCAGACATACCCTGCATACTTCAAATTAACGTATTTCAAATTAATGTCATGTCACTAAAGTACCTGAGCTGTAGCTATATGAAGAAGGAGCAGAACTGGGTAATGAAACTGAGAAAAAAGAGCAAGGAGAAAAAGCAGCAGCAACTAAATCCTATAAACTTGGCAATTGATCAGGTGGTTCAAATTTATATAACCACAAAAAGTTTTCTATTCATACAGCTACATTGGAGCTGAGTTCAATCATGGGGAATTTCCTCACTATTCAATAGTGACAAATATTTCCTAACCACCTGAAATGTTTGCCAGTGTTTCTTGGCAGAGAAACTTCATTCCACAGCTGCGAATTTTTCCAATATACATTAACTCCCCTCTCCTCCACCCAACCTTCCTTTTTCTTTGTCTGACTTGAAATATTATGGTCAGATTGTTTCAACAGGCAGTTTCACAATATGACACTTTCTCTTATT